TTAGGATAAAATTATTCGATTTGGTCCTAAGTACAAACTATTGGATAAGGTGATATCCATCACCTCTCAAGTGAAATTTTATATTATTAGTATTGATATTGATATCAATAAGTTTCTATGTTTATTGGGACTTTTGTTTTGGCAGATGTGAAATCACTTATTTTAAAGAAACCAAATTAGACATGAAATAAATATATTTCTTAATAGGATAAGGATTTCTATTTGCTATAAGATTCATAATACTATATATATATATATATATATCATAAGGGAGAAAGGAATATGTATGCCCCATTTGGCCACCTTATAGAAGGCGGACTTCCCTCTGGATAGACACAAGGGCTTCCTACATAGAGGTTTATCCAAAGAGAGAAGTGAGCTTCTACTGAGACAAATGGTTTGCATGTGCCTCATGTTAAGAGAAAGGTTTATTTTTTGTAGAGAAAAGATTTTTATGCAAATTTTGGGTGGTATTTCAATTGTAGAGAGAAAAACGATTTTTTATTGCTCTTGCATCTCTATCTAGTGGAGAAAATCTATTTTTTGTTGCTTTCGCATCTCTATCTAGTATGTTAAGTAATAATTGCCAGAAATAAAGAGAACAAAAAACTATAGGTGATGTCGGTCAGGAGAGTGATTTTAATCCTTTTGTATTCTATTTCATCGATATAGTAGATTTCAATTTGTCAAGCCTGTGAATGTAACAATTTGGGAAGAACCACATAAAATATTGCTACTCTTTTTGTATTATATCTTTCATGCTTTATTTTTTTTGCCTTATTATTTTTCTTGTTTATTGCTTTGCATGTTGCTGGTTGTGTTTTTTTTCTCTTTTTCTTTTCTTTTCTTTTTTTTACTCCTTATTTACTAAAAATCAACCAGTTTATTTTTTTAACTTTTTCTCCACAACATGACAACAATTAGAAAGTTACATGAGTTAATGAAAAAAGAGCCACGTAAGTCTCCCAGAATGGCACATGGTATTTTTGGTTAAAATAATAATAATAATAAATACGTCCATAAGAATGTTGTTCTAATTATTTTTTTAATATAAAAAATATATATTATAAGATCATTTACTTTTTGTAAAGAGATCACAATCACCATAGGTTGCTAAGGTTGATTATGATCTTCTTGCACCATATTTATAACAACTCAATGTTGGACCACAAACCATATGAAGGTGAGCTCTTAGATATCTATACAAGCTTTAACATCTTAAGAGAACCTTAATTTGAACACAAGTGGTTCATAAAGATCCAATATCCTTGATCTAGGCACTTAAGTCCTTTATTTTGCACCAAAATGGCTCAAACCTCCATTTGAACCGTTGTTATGTATGTTAAAATGGGTGATTGTCATTTAGAGACTCTTTATTGTAAGAAAAAAGAAGAAAAGTAAAATAAGCAAGTTTATATATTTTTGCTTCCTATTGCCTCCTTGATAATCCAACAGACCTGACTTTTTATTAAAATAAATAGAATATTTTGGCAACTCTTATTTACTATCTCAAATATTGTATTTGTCTGGTAGTTTCTCTACATGAGATCACAAAAAAAAAGATTAAAAAAAAAAAACATTTTCAGCAAAAGCCCTTTTTAGAAAATAAATCGTAAAACGAAAAAGATAAGTCAAATTGACAAGTTCATACATTTTTGCAATCCCTAAGTTTCCTATCACGAATGTATTGATTGTCCAAAAGAGCTTTTATTAAGAAAATTGAACAATTTTTTTTGGTTGTAAAAAAGGCTTACAATGTTGAAAATTTAACCTCTTGAAAGTATGAAATGGGTTCTATTAAGGAGTGAATGGCTAAAAGAACGCTTGGTTTTTTTTATAATGTTTTAAAATTCAGCTCAGGTAAACAAGGGCAAAATAAACCCATAAACTCAATAAAAATGTATATCAAAAAACTACTATAATAATTAAAAATCACAAGGAACCAAAACTAGTTATAGATATCATTTAGAAACTATAAAATATGAAAAAGAAATATACAAAAGATGGATTATTGAAATTTTTGATTTATACATTAAAATAATTCAAAAAAATTTAACAAAAAGAAAAAAAAAAATTGATCATGTAATAAGAAAGTACCCAAATCATCATAAAAACAATAATAATCGTATAACAATTTATTTTTCAAAGGTATTATAGTGATTTTCAGCAAAAATTGTCTTTTTAATGTTTTCAACCTTGGGAGTTGTTCACTGGAACTCACCTCGGTCAAGTCTGAGTAACTCAAAATCGGCCAGAGTCCAACACTTTACAATTGTATGCACACACAGCAGAATAGTAAAAAAAAAAAAAAAAAAAAATCTAATGCAAAAAAAAAATGTAATGACCTAATTACCCCAGAGAAAAACAAGGAGGAAATAATCTCATAAACCATTAAGTTACAAGAGGTTTCATAAAATTTATTTAAAACTTGTGGAGTTCTATTGTCAATTTATTTTTCCTTTTCTCTAATGCATCAATTGCAATGAAATAATGCATCAATTGCAATGAAATAATGCATCAATTGCAATGAAAATGAAATACACTGCTAAATCAACTATGGAATTGATGTGCAGATTGCATAAATATGGTTAGGCCCATTTAGCCAGGAGAGACATTCCACCCGCTCCTAGTAAAACTGCAACATAAGCGAAACCTTGGAGCTTAGGATTGCTTTGAAACCTTGGTCCCATGAAATCTGAAGCCAAGAGATCCACCAAAGCCATGTAATTAAGAAGCCCAGCCAAAGCCGCATTTAAAATGCCGACCACAATGAGAACTGTAGGGCTACTCTCACTATACACATTTGATAATCCGATCCCTGATGCTATTCCAAAGGGGGTTGTCACTGCAAAAAAGAACACCATGATCGCCTTCATTGTGGTTGCATACTCTGCCTGCAATCATATCAGATTTCTAACCAAATTAGATTATGCATACACATATATATACATATGTGTGTTATAGATGATTACACATGCAGATACTTGTGCATGCGGCTAGCAAGCAATGCAACTAAAATGTAACTATACATGCGTACATACATACATACATCCATAAGACAAAAATAAATACATGTCTACGTTGTAGATGAATAAACATGTATCCATATTATGTGTCTGATCTGTGTGCTTTGTTAGAATATCCCCTTTAATTCATCTTTTTGAGGTGAATTGAGGATAAATATACAAAAATTATTGTTTAGTTTCATAAAATTGCGGGGGATAAATTATTGTTTAGTTTCATAAAATTGTGGGGGATAAATTATTGTTTAGTTTCATAAAATTGTGGGGGGAGAATGAGAAGGAGAAGGAGAGAGAGAAACCTGAAGTATGGAGCCACCAAGACCCATTCCTTCGAAGAGTTGATGGAAGCAAAGAGCAGCCACCAGAGACCTGATGGTGCATGGATTTTGTGAAGCTCCCATCCCCAGTACTATCACCACCGAATGCACCACGATCCCAAATTCCAATAACTAAAAAACCATTCACTTTCTTTTAGGTTACTCAACTAAACATTTATGTTTTAACCCAATTTAACTTGCACTAAATCAAAATTCTTGTACAATGACTATCACAACAAATAGTCCATTCCTTATCGATAGGGTAATTTAAAAGTCAATGGTTTCTTTCACTAAAAGCTTGCACTCACTCACTAATGACAATGCTAAGCTTTCTCTAATGGCAATGCAAAGTGGTGTCTATAAGTGGGGGGTTCTTGTTGAAAATGAAGTGCTGGGATTGAAATTACTTGATTTTAGGAGACACTCGTTTATCGTGAGATTTGGTGCACCGTGAAATTAGGAATGGGTGCGAGGGAAGCCGTCGGATGAAGCCAAGGATGAGGTGGAGGTGGAGGTGGAGGCGTGTGGTTGTTGGGAGAAAAAGTGTGGCGACATGTGCCGAAGTGGACCCGCGTTTGAGTATATGAAATAAAGAGATAATGATATAT